CTACCGATTCTGGATAAAAATCCGTTTTCATGTCACTTTTAGTTTCCGCTTAAATTTGATTACGGTGGTGATTTTGTTTTTACTTTCTCGTATATACGTAGTATAGAGAAAGTATTGTAATCGTGCAAAAAAAAAAAATCGAGATTTTTACAAATCTCGACGTTTTACACCTCACTGATACGGAAAAACATAATTTTGCAATCTTGTCCGTATGTCTGTGTGTGTGTGTGTGTCTGTGTGTGTGTCTGTGTGTCCGTGTGTAAACACGATAACTTGAGTACCGTTACAGCTAGGTTGATGAAATTTCATATATAAGTATTATATCAAAATCGTAGATCCGTATCAACTTTTGAGCGATTTCCGACAACCGGAAGTGGTACTTTTTCTACTTTGAATTTTTCAAAAGCCTATAACTTGAGTACTATTTCAGATAGATAAATGAAATTTCACATGTAAGTAAAAGATCTAATTCTCTACCTTCTGTTAAATTTTGAGTAATTTCCGTTGACCGGAAGTAGTAATTTACGCTACTTCCGATTTCTCAAAAAACTAATGTAAATTTATTAAGTACTAATACTATTGCGCACTATTATACACACCTTTATTAGGCGTTCGCTTGGTGAGCAATTGTTTTTTACTGAGATTCTATTCTATTTTTAAAAGTTTCAGTATTTAAAATGGATTAAAAATCATAACTATATCCCCAGTTACCATCCCCTGTTGTTTTATATAAGAATATTCGAGAAAGTTTAGGGGAGATCACTACCGGTTTATTTAGTTTAGAGAAGAGAGACAGCACTATCAACCTAGCGCCCGTTGTATCCTTCCTCAACGGGCCATTTAACGGGTGCAATTTTTGCTATCTCGTGAGCGCTATGGCGCTTATAAGTTCGCCGGAGCCCCCGCAGGGTTCTATTTGGTGCCCTAGGTAATCCTGTGAACACCATGGCGCCTACATTAGTTTTAAAGAGCCAGGGCAGTACGCGGCGCCTCAGCAATAGTGTAATCGAGTGGTCCCGAGAGCGCCCCTCTATGTCCCTGACAACTGGACGGTCACTAAAGTCTGTTCCACCTCTCTATTACGGTAGTTTAAAACCCGTGCCCCGATAAATATGATCCAAACGCAGGCATTGTTTACATTTAAATAACTCAGCTTTAGGAAACAAGGTCACAAGAATATAATATTAGTGACGCAATGATGACACTCTCTTAAAATATTACGTCATTCTTTCTTCTATCCCCGCGGGGACGAGTACGCTAATATATCTAACCGTAATTTGTTTTTACAACTTAACTGGTTCTATGAGTCGTGTGTGTTTTGACCACCGCCTAACCCCTGAGACTGACTCACCAAACCCTTGGGTTTCGAACTAATCCAGGTTAAGAACCACTGCAATAAGCACTGTAAGTTTCATAAAAGCTTGTAAAAACCCGAGTCAACCAAGCCCACAGTGACACGGACAGGTTCCAAAGTCCCTGAACTAAGCGTGTTACACGGACCGGGTACTTTCTGTTTCGGTTATAAAAGGTGCTGTGTAAATAGTAGGTAATTGGGTTATTAGCCAAGGCCACCTTTCATAGAAAATAAAAAAATAAAGCAGATGCAAACGTAGTATGCTGTAAATTTGAAGCAAAATTGGTATTCACATTACAGTACAAAAAAATCAGATGAAGTGGCGAAGCAAAAAGAAAATAATAGAAGACAAACAATGGCAAAATATTAAAAAACTAAATATCGTCGGTCTTGTGAAATGCCAATTTTTTAATCTCTTGACTGGAGTACAAATCGTTAATTTAGATCTATAAAGATAAAATTCTGAAAGAAAATTGTTATAGCAACTAGTAGCCTAAAACGTTTTTAATAATGTACAAATGTCACTAATGACTAGCCATGTTTTAAAAACGATATGTTGGCTTATCTCTGCAATACGTGGGGCCTACTATTAGGTAGGTTAGCCTATTTATTTCTTCGATAAATGGCAATTAGTTATTCTTTTAATAATCTGAATGACACCCCCCCCCCCACCTCCAACTTTCTTGCATTACTGAAGATTTGGGGGGGGGGGGGGGGGCTTTTTTGCCAATTAAAATCAGAAGAATTTACACTAGATAAACTAGTTGATAAACGTTATCACTTATAAAAGAAACCAAGAAAACAACAGCATAAAACAAAAAAAAAATGTCTCACAAATTGGAGTCTCACTATTTACTCGCAAGCCAGCAATTGACTAGCACTTTACCGCCTGGCCATTTTGAGTTTGCATCTTACCAAGACCCTAATAATATTATAGAATTTAGGCCATAGAAGATTATAATTTATAAATATTAAATATAATTTATAAATTCTAGGCTTAGGCTACATCAAAATTAAATAAAAGACTATTTTTAAAATTGTTAAGGGCATGGGCGGGTGTACTTTTCGTCATAAATCCATTAAATCATCGATTTCCCACTTTTACTTGATCTATACAGAATAACCATAGTTGATTCTAAAAATGACATTGTTATGACCCTAAAACATTATTTATTTATGAAAAACCGGGTTCAAAGTAGTGTGTACAGGGTCATTTGTTTGATGTTTTGGTAAAAATAGCCATTTTTCTACCTAGAAAAGTACTATTAGGCTTAGCGGAAGCCTAATGTGCTTCATATCAATGGAAGGGCCATGACATCCTTTCTTTAATTGTTCTAAAATTAAAGGATCAATCAAAATACCTATTTTAATATGATTATTTTTCTACGTCATAAAGTTGTTTATTTTACTCAGTCGGGTTTTTCCGGTATCAAATTTTTAACCTCAATTTTTTCATTGGCATTCAATGCGGAAGCTAGTTAGCGATCGGTCGTTTTGCTTCGGAAGTAAACATTCCCTTAGTTTCACAGCGTTGCTAAGTTTGATCTAGTTTTGTATCTCTAAGCTTCTGTGAAATATTTACATTATTTTAACATATGATTATTTCAATTAAATATACTAATATACTATTAACAGTTTAGATTAATATGTGTGAATTGTCATAAGCAGTGAGACGATTTAATTTGTTTCTCTTTCGATAATGGGTAGAACAAAACACTCGCTAAAAATAGATACACACATCTAACTAATTTACTAAAGTAAGGGCGCGTCCAAATGATGCAGATGCAATATGCACATTTACCAAGAAACTGCGGCAATGTAAGACAGTTTTTACAGGCAGAAGAAAGCACTGTTACATCTAATACTGGTAGTGCTAATTGTAAACCACAGCCATGCAGAATTATTGTCGACTGTGATTTGCTTTTTGATGTTATCAATACATTTCCTTTCCCAGAGTGTAACTGTGATGTAGTGGCTACTATTTATGAAAAAAGTGTAAAGCGTTTGCTTCAAGCATGGTGTGGCAGTAATAAAAATGTTGTAAACCGTAAGAATACAACTGCGAAAGAATCCAGAACAAGGCCATTTACAATAAACAAAGACATCGTCTTATCATAATTGGCTTTAGACCTGAGACCATGCAAAATATACTGCTGTTTTTGCGATAGCAGAATTCAATTTTGGACCCATGCATGCTATGGCATTGCTGTCAAAAGAAGGATACCATAGTCGAAGACTCTGTGAAGGACGCCAAAAAAGACACCTTGACAACAGCTTTACTACAGCTCTATGTAAAACAAAGAGCGACAGAAAAAAGGAAACTAACAGCTGAAAAAGCTCAGAAGCAATATATTCAGCAGCACCATACTTCAGGCTATAAATGTGGTAGATTTTAGTGACATACAGCGGTAAATTTTCATTTTTTGCAACATTTTGTTGATTTTTTGCGTTTTTCTCAGTTTGATGTTTTTTTTGTACCATTGTTGAAATAACTTTGTTAATAATTATCAAAACTGAACTAAATTTGCTTCAGTTAAATTCAAATTTATTCAAATTTATTCAAACAACGGTTACAATTGTAGGCACAAAGGCCTTTTTTCACATTGGCAGTTTAAACAAATAAAACAATTCAATAACACATAGCAGTAACACATAGCACTAAAAATGTGGAATAAAGAAACAATGGTACATAGTTATCATACACAATGAGATAAAAAAGAGAATATAATAGATGAATGAGAAATGTTACAATGAGTCAGTTAGGTCATTAAATAATTTTAGTTTTAGTTTAGATTTGAATATATTTTCAGATCTAGATAGCTTTATTTTATTAGGAAGATTGTTCCACAAATTAGAACCAGAGTAGGCGAAGCTATGTTTTTGGAAAAAGGTTGAATAAGGGAATGGTAAATTAAGACGACGATTTAATTTTATGTTAAAAGAAAATAGATCTGATAAGTAAGAGGGGGCTGTTTCGTGGAATATTTTATATAAGAAAATTGATTTAGTATATATTATCTTTTTATTTAATGGAAGTATTTTAGTAGTAAGAAAAGAATCCAGACTACTAGACAAGCCAGTAACCAGTTTTATAGCCCTTTTTTGTAAAGAAAGAAGAGGACGCTGCTTATTTATAAAGCTGCCGCTCCACACTACAGAAGCATAATCCAACCTGGATTGAATAAAAGCCTCATAAAAAACCAGCCTGCTCCTATAGTTACTCTGTATGTATGTTCAAATAAAACTGACAGAACACTTTTGGAATTTTATTAAAAAAAAAAATTTGTATTGTTGAAATAGTGAAAAAATTGGACGAAGTAATGTAATTTTTACAGTAATGTATGGGGGAAAACAAGTTAAAAAAAAAACTATCTTCTTTTTTGAAAATGTAATGTGTCTCCAGACTATAGGCCTATTAAGTTTTCATGAAATTCGTTTTCAATAAAATCCAATATGAATATGGCCATCACCAAGGCAACAGACTACAGAGGATTTTAAAAATTAAAAAAAATATGTGTAGGGGCCTATGCTTAGCTTTTTGAGTTATAACTATTAGCCAAGTATTACATCTTTATGGAAATAAGGAAGTTGGTACTCCCCACCTGCTCATGCCTTTAGTCGTAAGGTTAAAAACTCAAAAAGTTACCTGTAGAGAGTCCTTGTGCAACTTCTAAATCCAATGAGAAGATAAAGAAAATAAGCAATCTTGACAGCAACAAATTAGATTGTCCATCAAAGCAAAAGTTTAAAAAGGATGCCTTTGACTTCCTGGGCATCTTCTTAGCTTTCTGATTAAATCTATTCTAGTCTCAGATAATTTTAATAATTTTATTTAGGCCTATCAATAGTATCATGTAGCCTACCTAAAATCCTAAATGATAGATCTAGATTACTTATGTTACTTATGTTACTTATGATAATAATGATGATATGATTACTTTCTTAATTTCTAGATCTAGATATCTAGGGCCTAATCATTAATTAATTAATTAATCACTTAGATTTAGTGACTAAAAACGAATCAAATCACTAATCTTAACTAGAATCTAGTCTAGATCTAGGTCTCTAGATCTAGACTAGTTACTAGTTAGTAGTGTATTTTACTATTTACTAGATCTAGATTCTAGATTCTCATTTGTTATAATCTATAACGTCATTACTTCCGCAAAAACGAAAGAAAAACACAATAGCTGGTGACCGTCGATTTAGTAAGACTAGATCTAGATTAAATCATTAAATCAAATAACTGAAATAGTCACTTGGGCCTAGGATATTCGTATTTCATTTATTGTTTCTGTCTCGGTGCTTAAACCAAATGTGAGTAATCTGTGAAGGCGATGTTTATTTATGAATGAGGTTAATGCGCTCATGCGCAGAAGCATTGCCTGTTATCCAGCTTTGGGAATACTAGACTAGGCCTAGGCCCTACTAGATCTAGATCTAGTACTAGATCTATGCCTAGAACATTTCCGCGAAGAACAAAAGTAAAACCGAAAACTACTAAAACAAACTGAAAAACATTCAAGGTTCTTAAACGAGCGTGAAGTAGCGTGTGAAGAGAATTTTTTAAAAATTCAAACAAAACCGGCGCTATATGTCATGGATCTTAGTTATGGGATGTAGGTTTGTCTACACTACTTCCCAGACGCACATGAGAGAGCTGTATTTAAGCATTTAGTGTACATATAACCAATAGTGAGTTGGCGGCTCGGTGCGCTCTCGTTATACTTCCACAAGGCTGTCGTGTGCAATCCATGCTCCAGTTTAGTTATCCTATATAGTAACCCACCGTGTTCCTGCTATAGGGTTTATTTGCATTACAGAGCCCAGGGCGAACTATCAATTTAGCTAGTTAGTTACGTAAGCGAAAAAGTACCCTCCCTCCTCAAACACCAATGTTTCACTAAATGGATGTAGAAAACAGCTAAATAAGCACGTAAAACCAAGTGTCATTCTGTTTTCTTAACTTTGTGTGTAATTTAGAATGAGCATTTAGAAAAAATCTACCCCATTTGGCGACCCCAAGAGCTGGCGCCCGGGTTAGCCGCCCCATCCGCCCTCCCCCAGCTACACCTCTGCGAACGCACTGTCATAAAGTAGGCCTACCCTAGAGAAAAAGTGTCATTTTGGTGGCTCATGGAGAGGGGTATAATCAGTATAATCTCCTAACAACCAATGTCTAAGCCACTGTGTTAAAGGTTAAGTTAACTTCTAAGACAAGCCTTATCGATAATTGTTGTAATGCACAGGGTTTAACACTAATACACTAGACCTTTTAACATATTGAATAATAATGGGGTCATCCATAAATGACATCACGCTTTTTTGGACGATTTTTACCTCCCCCTCCCCTCCATCACACATCGTCACAAAAAACCAGACCCCCTCCCCTAAAATGACGTCACACATCAGCCTACAACCCCCCTCAAAATTGCAGTTGAATTTTTCTTAAAACATCGATGTTTTTCCAAAATCTTGTCTGAACTCTGTCAACATAGAGTATTTTAATCAATTCCTATTACAGTTTATTAAAACAGTTTCCTATAATGCAAAATAAGGGCTAAAACTCGTTTTCCAACATTGCTTTTATTTATGTAATGCAAAAGTGTGACGTCACACCATCTAAACCCCCCTCACACACCGTCACAAAATTACGCCCCCCCCCCCAGAGTTTCTTCCAGGCATCTCTTCGGGGGGGGGGGGGGCAAAGCCCCCCCCCCCCCGAAATTTTTTTACCGCCCCCCCCCCCCCCCCGAACGAAATGAAATTTATATAATTTATATAGAAAATATATACTTTTAACAGTGTCCGCCCCCCCCCCGAAGAAAGTTTACCGCCCCCCCCCCCCGAAGATTTCAAGTGCCCCCCCCCCCCGGAGAAAAAAGTCTGGAAGAAACACTGCGCCCCCCCCCTCATGAGTGTGACGTCATTTATGGACGACCCTTATGCCTTATTGAATCTAATATTAAAAAAGTACGTGTTATTATATTAAAACTTGAATGGCTATGAAGGCGGAGTGTAAAAATACATTTGCCGGGGAAAAAATATTTTTATTTTTAATATTGATTACAAATACAATTAGATCTATAACTTATCTTTATTTAAAGACGCCCTAGTACTAGAATATAGATCTAGATCTATAACTTATTAAACTGTTGGTTGTTTTTTTTTTTTAATTTGGCAATTCTAAAGCCTGGCACTTCAGTTGTCTGGCAAGTAATCATTATAAAATATGGAGAACCACGAGTTGAGTAAAGAGAAGCAACCCTCAATATTTCCAGGGGTTGCAGATGTTAATGAACTCTCCCAGGTAAAGCTTTACACTTTACAGATTGCGTACATTTCAATACATCGAAATCGGGTAATCTATCGCTTTAGGTAGATCTACGTAAAATCGGCCGAGGCTAGTAATGGAGGCGAGCGAGTTGACGAGATCCATAATGACTCAATGAGATGACTAATGTTGTTGACATGGATTAAAAACGTGCTTTTTAGATTTAGACCGTAAAAAAAAAAAAAAAAAACTTAAGCCTAAAATTAATTTAGAAATTTTATATTTTTAGAATAAATGCTATAAAATTTGCAAATCCAGAGAACTTGAAAATAATTTGTTGAGTTTAAGGCTACATATTTGATATTACTACATGTACATAATGATAATATTTCGGTAAAATCACGATATAGCGTCGGTTATTATTCCGGAACTGTACAGCAGTAAAAAACAGTAAAACCATGGCGTAGTCTGTCGAGCCGTTCCGGAAACCACCGGAAATACTGTAAACCATCATTTATTTGCCGCCATATTATTTTTAATACATAATGTTTAAAAATGTGCAAGGATTGATTTTAGTTGCATTTTAAATACTGTTTTGCTAATTATTTTGTATTTCTAATTATTTTAAGTGTATGTGCTAATTATTGCTGCTACTAAACATTATTCTAGTTTTAACTTTAGTTAATCTAATCGTCTTATTTACTAACAGAACTAGAGCTGGTTGTCGCAAATCTTCTGCAGGTTTTTTTCTGTTTCTTAAAAAAAAAACATTAATTACTACACTCGACTTTATTAATAATATTTAGATTTACTAATTGTTGCTAATTTTTTGTCAGTTAAACATTAAATTAAGTTAATACAATAATTTAATGCACTAGACACTATTTTTATTTCACCGGTCAAATAAACTATGGTTTACAGTAACGAATGTTACCGAAACTCAACGAACATTACCCAATAATTTCCGACGCTATATCGTGATTTTACCATATTTCTATTTATTTTCATCAAGCCTAAGTTATAACCGGATGTTTCACTTTCGTAAGACAAATATTGATTGGCTGTACAGTAACTTAGTGATCGATAACTATTTGTTTACAAAACTTTGCAGATCAAGTTTTTAAATAACAATGCAAATTTAAAACCCCATGACCAAGTTTTCTATTTTTAGCTTACAATGTTTACAATAAAATCTATGGCGGCCTATCCAATAGCAGGATGCCATTTTGTTTATGTCGCCATTACACGTGAAAACCAAATTGTTTTTGCTTTTTTTTTAAATTTTATTTAGTTACCGAAAATATTATAAACATCAAATACATCCAATCTTTAGTAAAGTCTGAAAAACCAGACAGGCAGGATTTTATAACCATATTAATTGTAACTACGCTGTGCAAGATTTTTAAATGAATTTATACACCTCTCAAATACCTTTGAGACTTTTCTCGCTGGTGTCCATTTGAAAAGGCAGTGCCTCATTAAATTTTTGTAGACGTAATCAATCGTTTTAGGGCAGGGTAATCTATCGTTTTCATTTAGGTACGTAAAATCGCCCGCGACTAGTAATGTGAAAAACAGGTGACTCCTTACTCCTTAAATTTTAATAATTATTTCACATTTTGAAGAGGATTTATGTTTTGAAAAATACAAAAATGTTTCATTTATGTATCTATTTTTAAACAACTGAATTTTATTCATCTATCTATAGGCCTAGGCCTAATATTTGACACAAATATATCACAGTAGTATACTTCTATTAAAGCCTTGACAATGAGGTAACTTTTTCGTACATTACTAGCTGCGGGCGATTTTACGTACCTAAAACGATAGATTACCCGTTTTAGGTCCTTAGGTAGAGTGAAGTTCCACAGCTGATCACACATACTGACATAGTGGAAAAATCCGAACGCCCAACTTTCAGCGGGCGCTATTTTGTAACCGTTTCATACAGAAACAAACCCAAAGTATTATTATATTATTCCTCTGCCATTCTACTCTAATATTAGTAATATGTATCATTACATTATTATTATTTTAACACCTTAGAGTCTAGTACTTGTAAAAAAAAAAGTGTAGTGTCAATATGACAATAAGTGGGTCAGATTATAGTCCTAGATCTAGCAGCAATCAAGCTAAATCAAACTGCCCTTTAACCTTTAGGCCTAGCTATCTAGCATGCGTGATAGTAGATCTAAGTCTTGAACTTAAAAAAAAATTTATTTGCTTGAGGGCGAGGGGTGGGAAAAAGAGAGAAGTGAAAACAGACGATCTCGTGAACTTGTGTTCATTCTGTAACATATGCTTTAGGCCTGCTGAACTCAGTGACCTCGCCGACAGTGGGCCGTGGTGGGATTTTCCACTCACGGGATAATAAACGTAAGGCAAACAAGCAATCACGCCAGTGACGATGTTTGGAGATTTTATTTAAAAAAAAAAGAATCATGCGTTATAGTTTCAATATGAAAAAAAATGAAAAAAAAAAAAAAAAACCAGTACCAGTCGTGCTAACCCCGGGTTTGAACTCGGAGCCCCAAGTCTATGAACTACAGTCTACAGCTGGCAAACTGTTGACTCAACCACACCGATAGAAAAGTAAAAAGTAAGCATTTTCAATTAAAATATGGCAAATCCAACCTGGGAGACGCGTAGTCACTTTGTATTAATTAATAGATTGCAAAACCAAATAAAAAACATGTTAATTAAATTTATTAATGACACTTTAAAGGTTGACCCAGTGATGACTCAAGGGACGCAACTATAATGATCATAACAAAGGGACGTAACAATCACTAACAAGACATAACGTAACATTTGCTTAGATATGCTTGTATGTAGAGACACAAACTTACTAGATTTAGAAGAAGTAAATGATCGAAATAATTTAAAACAATAGAAAAAAAAATAGAAATTGTATAGATTCAAGACAGCTTGAAATATAGAGCATCTAGATCTAGGCTATTCTAGCTCAAGTTGTTGGTTACGCAGCGAGGTGAAACCACCCTAATCGTTACCCAATATGTTTATTAAGAAAATATCAGACATATTTATTATAAATTCTACGTAAAATTTAAGACATTACATAATTAATTGAACAATCGATACCATAAAGTTGAGAAAATTAATATCCAAAACTAAAAATAGATCTGACAGAAATATTGATCTAGTCCTTGTAACTGTAAAGACAATACAGTATTAGGTAAGATGATAAACCAATTTTTTTAAAACTTGAAAATAAATACTACTTAACCATTAATGTCCCATTCATTCTACCAAAACTCCACCCATGACGGCCCAATGTAAGGAGCATAACTCTGTATGATCAAGTGAATAGTTTCACAAAATATTTGTTTTTGTCTAAATGAAATTGAAAATTAAGATAAAAACTACTGCTTAATGTTGGGAATAAACCTGGCTTTCCAACAGTATTAAATAGAATATATTATATTCGGTAAAAGTACAGTAAAAAAATAAAAAATGTCGGAGAAAATTCAAAACAGGTCATTTTCGGTAGTCAACTTTATTTATTTTTGTCTAAACAACTAAGCATCGAATTTAACAGTTAAATATCAATTTGGTTATGTTTAAGATAACTAATTCATAAAATACATGCCTAGATACGTTTAGAGGCATTATTTTATTTTATTTTTAACATTAAATCTACTAAAAAAAGGACAGATGAGTCTAAAATTTCGAGATCGAAAGAAGCTATTATTTTTTATCTTTCAAAAGTGCCATTGAAATTATAAGACCGGAAAAGGATGGTGAAACTATCCGACTTCCTGTTTAGTTAAAAATTAGGATTTGTAGGCCAAATTTTAATGAAACAAATTTAATTTTTCTATGCGTATTTTAAGCGGGCGGCAGCGGGCGTTACGGGACATTAACGGTGTCGGGCGGCAGCGGGCGTTACGGGACATTAATGGTTAATTATTTTCTCTTCTGTTGTAGCATTAGGTTAGGCGAGGTTTTTTTTTTTTTTAACCAGCTATCTATGCGTAGTAAATCTATAGTCCTATAAGCTTGCGTGAACTTAAAATGACTCTAAGTATGCCTGTTTTACACTTTGCTTGGTTTATGAGGGGAGGGGTGGGGTTGACCACCGGCGATCTCTAACAGTAATCGTTAATGCTGTGACGTATGCTATAATAGGCCTGCTGAACTCACTGTGAACCCTCAACCATGTTAACATTTTTCTCCCGCAGACGAGAAAATGTAAGCAGTAGATCTCGCGAGTGACGATGTTTGAAAAACCTAATTAAAAACTACATATAATTTCATATAAATTATACTAGAATACCCGTCATCCGTTGGATAACTGTGCCACCCGCATGAGAGCCGGCTACACTACCAACTTAGCTATTTACTCGTGACGTCACAAGTGAATTTTTATACTATACTTTGAGTCTCCTTATGCAACTTGATTTACGCGCATAGATCTAGATCTAAGTCTAGTAGTAGTAACTTTCAAATTTAATTTTATCTTAAATTAGCCAAACAAAGATTTATATAAAATAATTAAGGCCTGAAATAGATTCTAGATGTATTAAGGCCTGAAATAGATTCTAGATGTAGAATTTACATTAAGTCTAGATCTAGAATTTACATTGAGTCTAGTGACCTAGATCTAGGCTAGATCTAGATCTAGGCAAGATCTAGATCTAGGCTAGATTCATAACCTTTCCTTCGACAGCTGATCTTTAGATCTAGAGAAATTTATTGTAAAACTAAATGAAAAAAGACAGTTTAAAATTGATATAAGTGTTGGAACGTAATAAATACAGCAAACGGGCGTATTGTTAAAGTTATGACTGACAGAAAATTAGATTTAGAACGCGTTAAACTTTTGAATTGGAACACAATTTTCTTCGATAGACGCCGCCATTTTATTGTACTAAAGAGTAAACAAAAAACTGTGACGTCACGGTCCCGCCGAGTGTAGTGGTCGTTCTAATCTTTTTAAAAAAAAAAGGGTTACTCTACGTATGAATAAATCAATAAATTAATTAACGTCTTTAAATAAATTTGTGATTAAAAGTCTGTCTGCATTAAAAAATTATTCTCTACCTACATACTATTTTACAGCTCTCCAGATAGAGTAGAACATATCACAATACTCGATCAGCCAAACAAACAAAAAAATAAATATTCAAACATGTAAACAAACTTGAGTTTTAGTAGTATATAGATAGAAGGTTAGGTCACTTAGTATTTACAAGGTTAATGACCGGTCACAAATTATGTTCAATGAAACTAACAGTGCAGTCGGCCTACTTGCAGTGAAGAAAAAAAAAATCAATATACTAATAAAATTACTAATAATTTCATACAATAATAATGTCCACATTTTCTGCACATGCTACAACTGAATTATATTTAAAATACTAGACTTAACAGTTCATTCCACAAAAATAAAAAATTAGTTGTTTCTATCTGACAACAAGTGTAACAATGATGTAACGTTACTAAAAATAGCTCGAGTTCGAATCCGGGTTCAAGTCAGTAGACCGTCCCTGAGTCCACCCAACTCTGATCAGGTACCTAACTCACATTAGGGAAATTAAAGGCGGCTGGGCATAGTGCTGACCACACTATCTCTTCATATGCCAAGGTCACAGAAACAAGTGAACTCTACTTCACTTGCCCCATAGACCGTCAGGGAAACTTTACTACTTTACTTTATAGTCTACTCCACAATAATTACCAAAATCCACTTCAAATAAATGTCACATCAGGCTTTGAGGTGTTATAAAGCATCGACTTCATCCTGCATGTCCTGCAGCCTTTTTGAGAGTAGGGCAAGAGCATTTGCAAACTCTAGGCTCTAGGTAATCTAGTAAGTTTCCCAATGAGTGTCCACTTATTGCATTTTCCAGAATCCTAAGTTGAAATTTTTATTAATTATCCATTTAATTAATTATCCCTATTCATAGTTGTTGTTTTTTTCTTTTTAGAAAACCCTAAAAGCAGTTTTGAAAGCAACAAAAAGTTCAAATACTTTACCAGTCGGTGATGATTTTGATTTTTATTCTACATTTAGAACTGTTCGTGATGTTTTGGATATTGAGGGACGAAGGATCTTGTCTTTGTGAGCTATAAATATCAGTTGTTTAATTACAATAGTTTTAAGATTTGCTGTGGTTATTTACTGTGCTATTGAAACTGTGTATAAGTTGAAACAAAAATAAAATTTCTATTACATCTTTAAAAAGCAATTTGCAGTATGCAGATAAATGTTTTTAATGTTTTAAAAATAATTTATCATAGGCTACAGAGACTTCTACGTCATCAAAATGTTAAGGGAAGCCTTAATCAAGATGTGGCTGAGCTTGAGGATCAGTTTGATGTTCTTCTTGATGCAAATGATCAAATTTTGGAGCGAACTGTACGGTTTTTATTTATTTTTAAACATTCAATCACTACTAATATTTTGTAACAATGTTAAAAAGAACCAAAAATCTGTTTTAACCATTGTTATTTAGTGAGTTGTTTTATTTTGAATATAGAATAGAAAGTTGTTTTTTTTTGGTAGCACTGCATTAAAGTTTGTGACCTGCTTAAAATCAAATAGGTGCTTGTCAGTTTTGTCAAGTTTGATCTTAGAGTAGGCCCCTACTGATAACATACCATGAAGACGACTGAATTTACGAGAATCCTTCCATCACGTTGTTGACATGGATTAAAAGCTTGCTTTTTTAGATTTTGCTATCAAAGCGACCGTAAAAATAACAAAAAATAAAACTTAAGCCTAAAAATAAATCAGAAATTTAATATTTTTAGAATCAATCAAATCAATGTTATAAAAGTTGTTAATCCAGAGAACTTCAAAATAATTTGTTGAGTTTAAGGCTACATTTCTTTTTATTCTCATCAAGCCTAAGTTATATCCCGATGTTTCACTTTCATAAGACATACATTGATTGGCTTACAGGAACTCGATTTCTGACAGCCCCACATCATAGTTTTTTTGTTACAAAACTATGCAGATAAAGTTTTTAAATAACAATGCAAATTTAAACCCCATGATCTAGTATTCCTTTTTTTTCGTTTACAATGTGTACAATAAATTTTATGGTAGCCTATGGAATAGCAGTGTGCCATTGTTTATATCGCCATTACACATGAAAACCAAGTTGATTTTTTTTTTTTTTTTTAATTTATTTAGTTACCGAAAATATTAAAATATCAAATACATTCAATCTTCAGTAAAGTCCAAAAAAACCCAGAGAGACAGGATTTTATAACCATATTAATTGTAACTAAGCTGTGTACAATTTTTATGCTTTGTATGCTATGACAAATTTTTAAGTAGTTGATTTATATTTTTGAAAAATTAAAGTTCACAATATTTCTGTAATCTGACATCTTTATTAAAATCTTAATAATACTATTACATTTGACTTTTACTGAATGCTACAACTAGTTACATATAATTTATTTTTAGGGAACTCTTTTGGATGAGGCATCTGGGATTCACAAAGAGGAAACTAAACTTATAATAGCCTCTGCTTCACCTGTCTCATTTAAAGCAACTTCAAGCTGGAATCAAAAAGTACTTTCAAAGAAAACTTTATTGTTTTGCAAAAATGTTAACAATATTTAATTTTGTGCTTTAAATACCATATCATAGACAGCTTGTTTTGTAAAAAAAAAAATTTCTGCCAACCATTTGCTTTTGTTTTTTTAGCCTGTTGTTGATGTGGGTAAATCTGCAACAGCTTATCGACTAATGACAGCCAGAAATATACAAAGACCTCAGTTGTCTTTTCGCGACAAGATTGACAACACTAACTTGCCATTTAAGCCACAATTACTTTCCAAGCCTAATGCCCTAAAATCACTTGAAGGTATGTGTAGAAATCAGGGGTAATATTACTAGTAAGTTTTATGTTCAAGTGCCTTTGTGATAAAATCAGACTCCATATCCAATTTTTGCTCAGAGTTTTCTTCTTTGCCATTTACATCCTTTCATGCTTATTTTGTCCAGTTCTTTTTATTTCTTTCTAATGATTTTCATATCTTTCAATTTCTCTATGCCAGGTGTTTTTGGGTCTCCCTTATTCTTTATTCTTGTAGATTCTTTTGATGTGCTTTGTCTGGTAGTACTCATTGCCGATTTCTTGACTAATGACCTATACATGTCCACCTTTTATCAAATTTCTTGCTGCACAGGATTTGTCCTATCCTTTCCCTGTGTTAGGTACTTTGTCAAACCACTTAGGGAATAATATTCACAGTTGGTTCAGATTACAGATTTATAATTCCATGTTTCATATTTCATTTCAAATTTGCTTGAATCTTTTCTCATTACAAAAAAAATGTCAAATGTCAAAAATTGACACCTCAAAAAACTTTGTTGAAGAAAATAATCATTTAATATTATTTATTTTTAGAAAGCCTGAGGCTACCTGATGGTGTAAATTTTGAGGAAACTGAGAGGCCCAGTTTTGTGTAAGTTTTTGGCAATAAAAGAATCAGCGATTTATTAGGTGAAAGATAAAATTGTCAAATTTTCATTTAAATTTCTTTATCCAGATACCCTCACCCATACAGTTTTGAACTTGATTCTTTCAAACCTGATCCAAAAGAATTTGAACATGTTGTGCCTCAGGTCTGTTTACTTTCTGTTTAATTATTAATTATTTTTAAAAATTAAACATTACTTAATTGAACTTTTTTTTTTAAATAAAGCCAATTAAAAATTGCAAACCTTGAAATTAACACACACAATTTTTTTTATTTAAAAAAAATACCAGGATCCCCAACCTCTAAGTGTAACTCCTTTGATAGTTGTTGATACTCAGAAAAAGTTGCAAGAGATGATTGATCACCTGAGAACACAAACTGCATTTGCTGTGGATCTTGAACACCACTCGTATAGAAGTTTTCAGGTTTGCTTGCCTAACTATTTATAAAGGTGGTTTTATGAGTGTTCTTTTCTAGCTTTTGCCATCCCAATTGTTAAAACCCATGTTTAAATGTTGTTGGTTTTTTTGCATACAGTTCTCATTCTTTAAATAAATAAATTTTTATTTTGTAGGGTTTTACATGCTTAATGCAAATCTCTACAAGATCACACGACTACATTGTTGATACCTTGGAATTAAGAAATGATTTATATATATTAAATGAAATTTTTACAGATGTAAACATCACTAAGGTAATAATTTTTTTTTTAAAAACCAGCCTAGTTAACAGCTCTTTTTAAAAAGTTAGAAAATTACATGTAAAAGTAAGTTATTTTATTTAATATAAAAAACTTTTTTCTTATTAAAGCTTAATTCTTGATTCTTGTTGTAGGTATTTCATGGAGCAGATTCAGATATTGTGTGGCTTCAGAGAGATTTTGGTATTTATGTTGTCAATATGTTTGATACTGGGCAGGCAGCACGTGTTCTTGGTTTTTCCAGATTTTCCCTTGCGCATCTACTTAAAAATTATTGTAAGATTGAGGCAGATAAGCAGTTTCAGCTGGCAGATTGGAGAATTAGGTGGGACTGATTTGAAAGTGGTGGTTTTTTTTTTTTTAATTTCTTTGCTAGTATATTATCCTCTAACATTGTCTCCTAAAGCTTGTATTGCTTAAAAAGTTTTCTTCAGAATACTTTTCAAAATTCATCTTTCATATTATGTTTTTAGACCTTTACCATCAGAGCTGATCAATTATGCAAGAGAAGATACTCATTATCTGCTTTACATTTATGATTCAATGAAAAACCAGCTCCTAGACAGGGGAAATTCTCAAAACAATCTTCTACTCTCGGTTTATGAACGTAGCAAAATTGTTGCTGGAAAGGTAACATACAATACTTATTATCAATAAACAATATGTTCGTATTTTTTTTTAATTAAAAAAATCATGTGTCAATCTTCAATTTATCAAGGTGTATCAGAAACCTGTATTCACTGAGAATGACTATAAAGAACTGTACAAAAAAAGCAAAAAAGTTTTCAACAACCAGCAGATGGCAGCACTTCGGGATATTTTTGCATGGAGAGATTTAATGGCAAGGATGGAAGATGAAAGTCTTGGGTATGTTTCAGCCCTAATAATGCAATATCATACATTTTAGATATGAGAGGTAATAATTTTAGTCTTATTTTATAATCTTCATTTGTTAACAAATTGTTGTGTTTACTTTCTTCTAATTAGATATGTTCTTCCGAACCATATGTTACTTCAGATAGCAGAAATTTTACCCAGAGAACGACAAGGGGTGCTTGCCTGTTGTAATCCAATACCCCCATTAGTTCGTCAGAGTTTAATTGAATTGCACAATATGGTGCTTCAAGCAAGGGAGCTTGATATTTATAAAGTAAATAAAGCAAAACCTTTTCATATATATGTTTACAACTAAATAATTTGATGGAGATATCATTAACTCTTAACTAACATTCCTGTTAAAATGATCTGAAACATATCTATATATTCAAAAGTTTTTAAATTTTAAAAGGTGAATTTAAAATAGTAATTTATGTTTTTCTGTGTCAAAACTATCAAACTAATATGGCATATTTGTATATTTCAAGATGGAAAAACCAGTACAGATTCAGTCATCATTTTACCATCCCAAATATGATGCTGATAATTTTCTTAACTGTCCACATGACATGACTCATTTAGATGAAAAGATAGCTGATATTGAGAAAAAAATATTGGGTAAAGAATTAGGTTATTTCTTGTTTAAACCCTGCTCTTTACATCGATTTAATTTGGCATTATTCATGCATTTGTAATGAATGGTCTTTTATTTCATTTTTATTCACTTTGTGTCATCCCGCTTATACATTCCCTACCCCCAATGTTTCTTTTTTATTTTATAGTGACAGCACATGTAGAAATGTATATACAAATTATTTATTAAACTTGTTAATTACTTATATGCTATGCATTACTTTTATTTACTTACTTTTTTAAAAAATATTTATAGAAACAGGATTAATTTCAAGTTCAGCATCTATGTTATATAAGAGTTTGTCTGGAGTGGCCCTTAAAGTATTGCCTATCATCTCAGCTTTCTCCATTAGGAAAGACAAGGTCATTATCAAGTTATTTATATTTGCACATATCTTTTTTTTTGAGAATCTTTGTTAATTTATGTCAACAAATCATTGCTCCTTTAGTGGGGTTTTTTTTTTAATATAGAAAACAATTTGTTTTAGAAAAAGGATGTATCTCAGATATTAGCAGAAGAGGTCAGATCATGCTTCTCCAACCCATTTTTAAAAGTTAGTATATTTGAATTATTTCTATGTGTTTACAGTTTTTTGTTAACATAAACAAATATTCACCAATCTTGAAGCAGTTCTTAAAATAGTTAACACAGACTTGTATATCAGACACACAATAAATATGTAAATCTATTGCTACAATTTTTAATATGCTTGCTATTTTTATTTACAACAGTACTTACCCCCTAGAGATGTTTCAGTCTCGTCTGTGGTAAGTCTTCTCTTGATGATTTAGTTTATTGGATAATAGTCAAATATATTTGTTTTACAATGACTATGTAGTCCACATCAATCCACATTAAGTCTGGATTTTATAAATAAATATGAATTTCAGTTTTAAAAATGTAATATGATGGAGGCATAGTCAACCATTTTAATATTACTTAAATAGCAAACATAAAAGAAAGATTATCTGCTAATTCATTAAAAATTAAGTGTTGTGTCATAGCTATATACAATTATCTTTTTGCAACAAAAAGTTTTCAACTACCAATTTCCATAATGTTGCCCATTCTATGGTTAATATCTAACATTTGTTTTATCTTTTTTGAAAGACTAAAGTGTAAATATAAATGTTACAGGAAAAAGAAATATGGAATTTAAAACCATCAACAGTTGTTCAAGGCAACAAAAGAAAAGCAGACATTTTGGAAAACCTACAACCCATATATGGTTAGATTAACAGTGAAAACATGATTACTTTGCAAATTTTTATTTCACCAGCAGTCTGATTGAAAAAGATGTAGGGTCCATATAAAAATGTGACCATAGCTTTGCGCTGTTTAAACAAATTTAGAAAAAAATCTGTCTGTTAATGTTACCTCAAACTCCTTTCGAGAAAAGCTCTGATTCTGGGATTCTTATACTAATAGTAATTATGTGAAACCATGGATAATTTACCAGGCTTGGAAATGAGTTTAGAAAAACTCAAAAATTAGACTTAGTACTACACATTATTTATAAAATGTAGCAGCAAACAGTATTTGAAGCAGTTCTGGATTTGCCAGTTCAAAATACCAAAAGATATGTGGCATGCTTGTATCATTCTTTAATGACCAAGTATATCATATTTGTGGCATTGATTTTTTTTTTTATTTTTTTTTTTTATTTCATTTTTGTTCTAATCTAACCATTATCTATCTTTGTATGAGGTTTTTATTGATTCTGACATCTGAAACCAGTTCTAGAGGGTTGATATACAGTTTAACCATTATGAGTAAATTGGTCCAGCTTAATTTCAATAAAAAAATTTAATTTTACCCTATATGTGTGGTGGTTGACTATAGTTTAGTTTATTTGAAATACATAGGCCTATTTGTTATTCATTTATTTTTCTAAAGGTTTATTTTTGTATTCTTATTATATTGTTTAAAATATAAATACTTGTTAAATATTCAGCACCTCCTACAAAGAAGATGAAAAATGAAGCTTCTTCCTGCATGTTTCAAAGCACACAAAGTACTGCTATAGGAGCTTCTAAATGTTCTGACGCAACCATAGCAAATCCAGTCAAAATTAAAGATAACACTACAGGAGAGATAGTTGGAAAAAAACTTATGTCTATCAGGCAAGAGGTATGTGACTAGTAAACATTAAACTAGTCTATGTACATTTTAAGCTCCTTTGTTTTATCTTGTAAACACTGACCTCTTTCATTTATAGGCCACTCAAAAAAAAAAGAAAGAAAAAAAGAAAAACATATGCCAAGAACTGAAAACTAAAGCAGAAACTGAAAATTTAAACAATGCATCTTGTTCTAGTGTTATTAATACTGAAACTAATATGAGAAAGGATAAGGTGAAAAGGTCTAAAAAGAAACTAACTGTTACTGATGTTGAGCAAAGTTTTCAACCATTTGATTATTCAGTGGCTGAGACATCCTGTATCAAAGGTGAGATTTAAGTAAATCACAATTTATTAGGTAGATTTATCTTTGCTAAATGAATAGGCAGTAAATGATGTACTGTGTTATGTAGTTTTTGTATGGCACATGACTGTATATGATAGAAATCCAAATGTTGCTTCCATAGATTTTTGGGTTGTCTTAGCCTGTATAGGGTTGGTAAGTAGGTCACCAACCAGTTCTACGGCTCAATAAAACCTGCATGAGCCATAGAACTTATTGGTGACCTACTTACCAGCCCTATTATGTAGACATCCGGGATGTAGTTTTTCAAATATTTTCAATCATTTGAAGAATTTAGATAATTTTCCAACAGCCTAATGTTTTTCTGAGAATTTTTTAAACCTATTACTTAAACATTAAAAAAAGACATTATTTACCAAAATATTATTTGCCATTAAAATAGTAATGTTAGATGATACAATATTCCAGGATGCCCTGGTATTATTCCTCCTTTCTTATTTCCAGATTTGCTGTTTAAAAAAGTCCTTTTTAGCAGCTTTTATTTAATCTTGCTTTGTCATGCTTCATCTTGCTTTTTCATGCTTCATCATGGTCAAAACTGTGAATGAAATTTTGACCACTTTGGATCAGTTTCTTTGAAACTTTGGCTAAGATTCAAGATTGAATGACAAAGCAATGTGATATAAAAATTTGACTTAACTGGCTGCTTTATTAATTTTTAAGAATTTAGTAAAGTTTGCTGTATAAAGAACTAATTTTCCACTCTATTATTAGTAAATGCACACTGTGTGTTCATTTGACTTGACTTAGTCCTCTTTGCTCCTTATGGAACATAGGGCCTCCACCATTTCCTCCTATTTCTTCCGATCCCCGGCTATTAATTTTGTCATCTCCCAAGACATCCCTGTTGGCTTCAGTTTTTCAAGAAGACTCCGCCTCCAGGTCTGTCTTGGGCGCCCTCTTTTCTGCTTTCTTTGGGGGTTCCACTCAAGCGCTTGGCGTGTAACATCTGGGTGAGCCTTTCGGAGTGTATGACCCACCCAGCGCCACTTCCTCCTAATTTGCACACCCATATGCTCCTGCCTAGCTTTCCTCCATAGTTCTATGTTCGGCACTTTGTCCTGCCATCTCAGTTTCAATATCTGTCTAAGGCACCTATTCATGAAGGTCTGTATCTTTGCTGTGCTTACTTTGGAGACTCTCCATGTCTCTGCTCCATACAGCAGAACTGGCTTGATGGCACACCGCCTTGAAGTGGTGGGATGGCTTGTGTGCCCCAGCGACCCCCAGAGCTATGCCGACAGAGCCTATTGCTCCTGGCAGGTCTAATCAAGTCGGACAGATCTGCGCGGGTAGGGGCCAGACCAAACGTTGTGCCCTGGTCCTCCAGGTTGGGGGTTGTGCGATGGGCTAACTACTCGTCCACATAAAACAAAATATAGTTACAGAAACCGAAGCCAAATCTGGAATAAATCCAGTCCTCGGAAGAACCAGGGCTCCACTTAGAAGTATGACGCAATGCAGCCAAATCCACAAGGACGCTACAGAGCCGACCGACCCCCCCCCCCTTCAACCGAGGAAAACTAAATTCACAGCCCCAAAACTACTGTCGTGCGTTCATTTGGCACACAAGTTTTTATTCATGCAATACAATTGTACTAAAAAAAAATATTTTAAGTATTTTCCGAATTATTTGAATAAAACAAGTACATGTTTTTTGTTTAGGAGAAGTTTCACAATTTTGCAGAGGCGTAGCGACCCCTCCCGGTGCCCGGGGCGAACTTTCAGTTTGGCGCCCCCCATATATATATATATATATATATATATATATATATATATATATATATATATATATATATATATATATATATATGTTACGGTCAAAGCCCGAAGTCGGCCAATGCGCGGATTGGCCGGCCAATCCGCGCATTGGCCAATATCGTCTCCCATTGGTCGGCCAAAGTCCGAAACTTTGCTTGATTTTGGCCTTTGGCCGGCCAATCCGCGGACTGGCCATGGTGGACCGGCCAAAGTCTTAATTAGTAGATCGTGGGCAGATTTTGGCTTTTTTTTTATGCCGTAAGGATCATGAAATTAAGTCTTTATTGATTATTAATTAAAGTAAATGACAGAAACATTCACATTTTTTATTTTATAATAGTCTCAATCAATCAATATTATCATTTGTTACAACAATTTGAACTTTTATGGCATTTAGAATTACATAGTAGCTTGTTACTTTTACACTTGCAGCGATTTGTTGTGCACTTGGTTTTGCAATTGCAGCGAGTGTAACCTTGGCCCCCAGTCAATGATTGTGAAGATGCAATTGTTCGTAGTGATTTTTCCTCAGTGCCAACTGAGCAGTTTTTCGTGAAGAATTGAAAACTCACTTCTACTAAATAGTTGTGTTAGAACACCATGTTCCGTTCCTAATTTGTAGAAGCCCTCGACGCTCATGACAACTGCAATCACGCTTCGGGGATCACCGCGACCTCTTGTCAACATCTTGAACACGGATGCGTACATTGTCACCCACTTCACCATCTTTAAATTTTGTATTTGATGTTTTAAGCATCTTAGCACCCTGATTTTGCAAACCAGCATGAGCTGCTGACCTGTGTTCCATGATGTCTTGTTTGTTGTGACACAATCTGCAGGTAATGTTCCCTCCGTACCCTTCGTCTGCTTCATTGGGTACTCCACAAATAGCATGGACATCTTTGCCACAGGATCCACAAGAATGAGCTTTACAAACAAGAGCTAAACAATACGTTACTCACAATGAAACCGCAACCAGAATAATGAAAACGCGATCACAACTTAGTCTAGATAGAACATTGGCCAGGACATCCCGGCCAATGCGCGCATTGGCCGGCCAATGTACAAAATACGCTGTCAAGTTTAAGCACTTCGGACTTTGGCCAGTACGTCCCGGCCAGTGCGCGCATTGGCCGGCCAATGTACGAAATACGATCTTAGTTTTAAGTTCTTCGGGCTTTGGCCAAGAGAGCCGGCCAATCCGCGCACTGGCCGGCCAATCCGGGGTTTGGCCGCACTTCGGGCTTTAACCGTAACATATATATATATATATGCGTGTGTGTTTGTGTGTGCGACAGTCTGGAAAAAAAATTAACAATTACGCTGATTGTCGTTCCCTAAAACTTCACTTGGCGCCAATTAATCTCCCCTTAAGATGCTCAAACGAATAAAGAGTAGAAAATCAAAAGAGCTTGGAACCGTGGGCTCCATCGAACCCGAGAGGTTCGGTAATTCAGTCTCAGGGCTTCCGCGGAGGACAAGACACACCCAACTCATATGATTCACGATCGGATTTTCTCATTGTGGACGATACAACTATTAAGGAGGGTTCGGTGATTGCGCATATGAAACTGGTTGGGTTCGGTACTCCAAAAAGTTAAGAACCAGTGCTTTAGAGTTATTTTGTAGAAGGTGCAAGCCTTATTTGGTCTACTTTTGGTCGTGTCTTTAGAACAATTTCGATAATAGTAGGCCAGTATTGCAATTTTGAATTATCAGTTAGGTTGAACAAAGTAATAATCAGTACAATATACTAATTTTCTTCTCTCTTAACATTTTGGCAAAGAGTGTCGCTTCCCATCCACCCGCTCCGACAGTCTGCTAACTCTTTTTTACTTTCTCGATTATACGAAGTATAGAGAAAGTCTTGTAATCGTTCCAAAAAAAAAAAAATCGAGATTTTTACAAATCTCGAGTTTTACACCTCACTGATACGGAAAAACATAATTTTGCAATCTTGTCCGTATGTCTGTGTGTGTGTGTGTGTGTCTGTCTGTGTGTAAACACGATTACTTGAGTACCGTTACAGCTAGGTTGATGAAATTTCATATATAAGTATTATATCAAAATCGTAGATCCGTAGCAACTTTTGAGCGATTTCCGATAACCGGAAGTGGTACTTTTTCTACTTTGAATTTTTCAAAAGACTATAACTTGAGTACTAATTCAGATAGATAAAGGAAATTTCACATGTAAGTAAAAGATCTAATTTTCTACCTTCTATCAAATTTTGAGTAATTCCCGTTGACCGTTAGTACTAAGTTACGCTATTTCCGATTTCTCAAAAAACGCATGTAAATTTATAAAGTACTAATAATATTGCGCACTATTACGCACATTTGGTTTTGGTGCTCGCTTGGTGCGCAATTTTTTTTCTATTAGATTTTATTCTATTTTTAAAAGTTTAAGTAAACAAAAATCATGTCTATATTCCGAGTTGACATCCCACGTAGTGTCATATTAGAATATTCGAGAAAGTTTAGGGGAGATCACTCCCGGTTTATTTTTGTTACACAATCGTAAAATACGCTTTAGTTCAGTGGGTTTCTTTTCTGGGCGATATCGGTTTATTCCTTAATCCGGTGTGAATTTTTCCGATTTTAGTCATCGAAAAAGCGCCCCCCCCCCCCCCCCCCCCCCCCCATCTAGGAAAGCTGGAAAGCGGTCTTTCCTGTCACTGTTTCTTAAAGATATACGTTTTACAGTTACACAACCAAGGTAGAAAACAGTTAAATCAGTATGCAAAGGCTCTCAGCCGTTACATTTCTTTATTTTGACTGTTTATAATTTAAAACTGCAGCTTAAAATGAGCTTTTAATTATTTTTTTTCTACCCCTTTTGGCGCCCCCCTAGGGTCGGCGCCCGGGGCGGCCGCCCTCCCCGCCCTCCCCTAGCTACGCCACTGCAATTTTGTTTTATCCATAGACACAGCATAAAAGACATGTTATTTGTCAGATTTTAAGATTCATTGATTTGTCAGCACATATTCAGAAGATTGGGGGTGGGGGTGATACTTGTGTAAACAGGAAAAATTAGGTTTTTAAAAAATGTGATACCCATCCTTCCCCCTTAGCAACCCTTTCAATGCAAGTAGAATAGTGAAACTGAAACAATTTACATTTTAACTTTCTCGTATAGAGAAAGTATTGTAATCATGCAAAAAAAAAATATCGAGATTTTTGCAAATCTCAACGTTTTACACCACCCTGAGTCGGAAAAACATAATTTTGCAATCTTGTATGTGTGTGTGTGTGTCTTTGAACACGATAACTTGAGTACCGTTACAGCTAGGTTGATGAAATTTCATATACAAGTATTTTATCAAAATCGTAAATCCGTATCAAATTGCAGCAATTACCGGTAACCAGAAGTGGCACTTATTCTACTTTCAATTTTTCAAAAGCCTATAACTTGAGTTCTGTTTCAGATATATAAATGAAATTTCACATGTAAGTAAATGATCTAATTCTCTGCCTTTTTTTCAAAATTTGAGTAATTTCCGTTGACCGGAAGTAGTAATTTACGCTATTTCCAATTTCTCAAGCATGTGAATTTATAAAGTACTAATATTAACCAGCCCTTATATACAGATGTTTTTGCGTTTGCTTGGTGCGCAATTCTTTTTTCTAGGAGATTCTATTCTATTTTAAAAGTTATTAAAAATCATGTCTATATCCCGAGGTGCCATCCCCCGTAGTGTTATATAAGAATATTCTAGAAAGTTTAGGGGAGATCACTCCCGTTTTATTATTAGGAATATCCATATGTTCTTATTAATAAATAAAAGCATAGAGGGTGGGGTCAGTTTGAGAGAAAAGACACAGAGGCGTAGCGACCCTTCCCGGCCCGGGGACATACTTTCAATTTGGCGCCCCCTCGGGAGCAAATTTTCGATTTGCACACCCCCCCCCCCTCGAACTTTTCATTTTCACCCCCCCTCAAACTTTCAATTTGGCGCCCCCCCCCCCCTAAGGTCGGCGCCCGGGGACATATGTTCTCCCCCCCCCCCTCGCTACGCCTCTGAAAAGACATAAAAAGCGATCAGGAAAAAATACAAAGTAATCGTCATTGATAATTGATGCAGTTAATCATATTTATGGACTCTTTGTGAGATATTGATATTAGATCTATAACCATTTCTCACCAATCAATTTAGTTCCTGTAGCATTAGATTCACATTTAGCTGATTTTTATGTCTGTTCTGGCATAACCAATACTGTGTAAAACCACTTACTTGTGGTACCACTCCACAGACATCTTAGCCTTTCAAGTTCTTTTTTAAATTAATTTTAAGTTAAATTTAAAATTGGTTTTCAATATTACTGTGATGTTTAATTTCAGACAGTAAAAAGAAGAAACAAGTTGACTTCTTCAACCCTTCCTTACCTTCACGTTCCAATAAACATAAAGATAAGGTAATTAAATAAGTTTTTTTTACATTGCTTGCATTGGATTTTTACAGACAATTACACATATAGTTAGCATTAACAAACAAATAAAGCTTTTTAAAATCAAGCTATATGGGGCTGCGTGTCCTAGCGCTAGGCTGCTAACCTGAAAGTCTTGAATCAGTTGAACGTCCTGGAGTCCATCCAGCTCTTATGGGTACGGGAAAGTTAAAGTGTCTGGGCCATGCTATTTCTTCAAATGCAGAGGCTACAAAAACGGGTGAACTCTACTTCACTTGCCCCATGATCGCCCTGGTTCAAAAAGAGAACTTAACTTGTTAAACAAGCTATTATTATTTTAAAATAATAGTTTTACATCTTTTATATGAGCAGGGAGGACTAATACAAATTTTCTTTCAGACCAGAAAACCCAAATTGTCTGGACCAAGAAGTAACGTCAGTCTGACCTTTGGGTGCACTGGAATGGAAAGCAAGAAAATGAAAAAATAAAGAAATGTTTAGTATCTCAGTTCTCATCTTTCTTTTTTTTTCTATAACAAAACCACTATGTGATTGCACAAAAGAAAAGTTTCTTTCCCTCAAATATCGCGAGTTTTGGACAAGGCATAAATTTAGCCAAATCTGTTCTCGCCAATTCTCGAGGTTAGTTTTAAGGGGCCCAAATCTAATATCTACGTTTCTCGTGATCGTTTTTAATTTTACTGTGTAGATATCCACTGCAATGCTAGCTTGAGGCTTAGACTTTGGGGTCATCCATTTATGGGGGGGGGGGGGGGGGGGGGGGGGCATCGGACGTCTACATGTTGAAGTACTAACATTTAAAATAAAACTTATAAAGTGAAATTAAGACGAGATTGCTCTATTTTGATATTTAAACATATTATAGTTACGGTTTTTTTTAAAATGATCTCTATACTACTAAAACTCAAGTTTGTTTTTATGTTTGAATATTAATTTGTTTTTTTTTTGTTTGTCTGATTGACTACTGGAGAGAATCTGCTCTATGTGGAGTGCTGTAAAATAGTATGTAGGTAGAGAACAATTTTTGTTTTCAGACAGACTGTTAATCACAAATTTATTTAAAGACGTTAATTGATTTATTCATAGGTAGATTAACCACATTAATTTTAAAAGTTTAAAACATTGACTTTACTTTGTGGGAATAGTGACGTCACATTATTTGTTTACGTACAATAAATGGCGGCTTCAATCCAAGATTTAGTTGCCGATTCAGATGTTTAACGCGTTCTTAGACTAATTTTCTGTCGGCTATAACTATAACAATACGTCCGTTTGCTATTTTTATTACGTTTGAACACTATTATAAAAGTGTTAACACTTCTTTTTATTTTGTTATACTATTTATGCAATACATTTCTTTAGATCTAGGCCGACAGATCAGCTGTCAAAGGAAGAAAATTTTTGAATCTAGATCTATTTCAAGGTATCTAGACTTAATGTACCTTCTACATATAGAATCTATTTTATATAAATCTTTGTTTGCTTCACTATGCAATTGGCTAATTTAAGATACAATTTAATTTGAAATAATTCTAGATCTAATTCTAGGGCTGATTCGCGTAGATTCTTACGCCGCTTAGTAGTAAAATATATGTTATTAACTTCTTCAGAGTACGAGCCTAGATAGCTAAGAGGTTAGCACATGTTACCATGCGGGTGGCATGGGTTCTAGACATGTCAGTTATTTTTTTATTAACTTGTTAATGATAATGTTGCCTTTGTCTATTGGAACTTAGCGGGATACATGGCAGGTGAAGTAGAGTTCATCTGTTTCTTTGTCCTCAGTATATAACGTGGATAGTGTGGTCAGAGCCATTCTCGGCCGGAATCTTTTTTTTTTTTTTTTAGCGCAATTTCCATTCTGGAGAATTGCGTTTATTAACCCGTCATTTATGGATGGATGGATGGATGTGTGTCCGCAGCTTTAAGTCGTATCTCCTCCTCAACGAAGCAATATCGATGACTAGTTCCAAAAGCAATTATGTTAAGCAAGTTACGAGGATGAGCATAGGCCATAAACATTCCGGGTTTCTTTCATGTATTTCCCGGAAAAGCCAAAAAACCTCGAAAAAATTCAGTTTTTTGCCCATATCTCGGCAACCAGACCACTTAGCGACTTGAAACATGTACCAATCGATTCCTGCCATAATTTAGAACAATATTGCCGAAGAAAATTTTCATAAAATTTACATAAACACCTACAAACCGATCGTTCTTCTAGCTTGAACGCACCCCAGCATTATACGTCAGAGCTATTTTTAGATAACATAAGGAAATTGCGCGTAAATGTCACTAGACTTTTTTAATTAACTTGTTTTAAGATAAAACATGTCTGAGACTTGGCGGAACACTGGGCAGGTGAAGTAGTGTTGGGTAGGTGTAAAGTTCACCTGTGACAACAGCATATGAAGAGATAGTGTGGTCAGACCCACGCTCAGCCAAAATCTGTGTTTTCACAGACAAAAACGTGTCTGGGTTTGGAGGACACTAGGCAGGTGAAGTAGAGTTGACCTGTTTATTTTTTTTTACTTCAGCATATGAAAAGATTGTTGTCAGACCCATGCTCAGACGAAGTCAGTGTATTTAAGACAGAAACGTCCGAGATGTGACGCCTTTTTGAATGTGGGGTCTGGTTATTTTGTGATAAGTGACAGTCGTAATGTCATTTATGGATGACCCCCGAAACCCAGTTATCCAAGGGATGACCGGGTAAGTCTAGTTATTAGTTTTCTGTCACTGCGTCAGGAACGCTCTAAAGAAAACACGAAAGTAAAAACTTTCAATCTATCGAAACTTCCCACTGCCGTGACGTCACATGGAACTTACAGGAAATTTTCGAAACGAAATATATAGTTGTAGTTGAAAAGCCGGAAAGGTACAAAAAAATTACGTCATTGATTCTAGAGTAAACAGAATTAAAAAGCCAATGCAGAAAATTTTTTTTAAATAATGACGTCATCGATTCTCGATAATAAAGACACTGACACTACCGAATAATTCATTCATGGGTCTAACCTTACAAGTAGTTTGCGTTCATCTCTTCGGGGAAAGAACGAAAGAAATTTATATAGAAAATCTATACATTTAACAGTGTTCCCCGCCCCTGCAAAAATATCAAGTGCCCCACTCCCGTAAAAAAGTTTGAAAGAAACACGGTTTAGCGGCCAAAAGTAAGTAGCGGGTCTAGATTAAAGATATCGGGTGTTGCTTAAGTCTATATGATGATTACTTTTAGAGAAAAAAAATTCCCCTTGGGAGAGGCGGATGCTTGTAAGTATGTATTTTCTATATATTGTAAATTCTATTTCGTCCGAGGGGGGCGGTAGACGTTTTTCAGGGGACTCAGCCTCCTACTTCCCCCCCCCCCCCCCCCTTAAAGAGTTGCCTGAAAGAAACTCTGAATGCGACTTTTTTCAAGTTTGAGCTTAGGTGCAAGGTTTAAGGTTATGACTAAGATTATATTTTGTGTAGATCAAGGTTAACAGATAAAGTATTGTGGCAATGTCTACATTTAGCGTCTGCTAGACTGCCCGTTATTCTTGAATAACCGTGTGTTTCGGGGAACATCCATAAATTACGTCAAGTTTGTTTGACTATTTTTATCTTTTCCCTTCCCACTGTCAAGACAAGTTTTTTTTTTCTTTTAAAAACACCGAGCATGGGTCTGAACACACTATCCCTTCATATGTTGAGGACACAGAAACAGATGAACTCTACTTCACCTGCCCCCGTGTCCCGCCAAGTCCCGTAAGGCAACTTTATAATTCCTATCTATAAAAAAATATTGACATGATGTGTCTCAAACCCGCACCACCCGCATGGTAACTATTACAGTATCATCTCAGCTAGCTGGGCACCGATTTGGTGCAAAATGGAATACTTAGAGCATGGGTTCACAAACTGGGCTTTTTTGGGATGGGGGGGGGGGGGGTCGCCAACTGATAGACTAAACCATAGAAATGAAAAAAAAAAATTTAGAAGAATATCTGAAACTCGGCTTTACTAAAAATCAATGGCAATGGAATAGAGAAGAAACAATGCGTACTGTGTAAAGTTGTTTTCAGTCTTCAGTCTATGAAACATTTCAAACCAAAACTTCATTTGAGACGAGTCATACGGAACACACACACAAAAAACCGGGAGTGATCTCCCCTAAACTTTCTCGAATATTCTTATATAAAACAACAGGGGATGGGAACTCGGGCTACAGACATGATTTTTAATCCATTTTAAATACTTAAAGTTTTAAAAATAGAATAAAATCTCGTAGACAAAAGAATTGCACACCAAGTGAACGCCAAATAAAAAAGTGCATAATAGTTCGCAATATTATTAGTACTTTAAAAATTTACATTAGTTTTTTTGAGAAATCGGAAGAAGCGTAAATTACTACTTCCGGTCAACGGAAAATACTCAAAATTTAACAGAAGGTAGAAAATTAGATCTTTTACTCACATGTGAAATTTCATTTATCTATCTGAAATAGTACTCAAGTTATAGGCTTTTGAAAAATTCAATGTAAGAAAAAGTACCACTTCCGGTTATCGGAAATCGCTCAAAAGTTGATACGGATCTACGATTTTGATAAAATACTTATATATGAAATTTCATCAACCTAGCTGTAACGGTACTCAAGTAATCGTGTTTACACACAGACACACAGACAGACAGACACACAGACATACGGACAGAATTGCAAAGCCCAGTTTTTCAGAATGAATTACGCATAAAACCTCTTAATTTTGATAAATCTGGATTGATAATTTTTGCCCGATTAAAATAAGTCCTCTATACTTCGGATTTGATGAAGGACTGAGGTGTAATACGGTGAAAATTGTTAATATTTCAAGAGATTTTTGTGCACGATTACAATACTTTCTCTATACTTCGTATATACGAGAAAGTAAAAAATATGGAGTTCTTTCGTTGACATGAAGCTAGTTGCAAACGTCAGAGACTTAATGGAACGGGAAGAAGTTTTCACAAAGAAAACAAAGCATTAGTGTAAGCATCATATTATGAAGTCGCATTAGAAATTGCCAAGCAAAAAAAGAAAAATCTCTCACACTTTAAGTGAAAATCTCATCAAACCCTGCATGTTGAGGATGATGAAATTAATTCTTGGGTATTACAGTGCATTAAAGATGCAACAAATATCTCTGTCTAATAATACTATTCAGCAGTATATAGTAGAGACGACCGTAGATGTTGAAAAACTAATTTTGAATGAAATCAAGCTTTCACCATTGTTTGCTTTTCAAGTTGATGAATCCACAGACGTTAGTTCGTGTTACCTCAATAGCTTGTCTTTGTGAAATATATTCATTCGGATGATGACAAGGAAAAGTTGATATTTTATAAAGACATGGAGAAAATAAATACGTTTTTAAAACGTTTTTCTTAACTCAGCTTCGCGTTTGTTTGTTTGTTTGGATGTTTGTTGTTAAAATTGACATCGAAAATTAGCCCACTTCTGATTGCTCTAGA